GTTTCCGGAAGTTGGGGCCCACTCCCATTTTTTCCATGCACTGTTGTTGGAAATTCCAATTGGCTTGGTCATATGCCTTTTTGAAGTAGAAGAAGAGAATGGCCGCATTGAGTCTCTTGTCAGCGATGTAGCGGGCAGATTCTGACACAGTCATGACATTGTCGAGGATAAAACGTCCCGGAATGAAGCCTGTTTGATTTATGTGGAAAGTTGGAAACATCTATTTATTTATCAATTTATTTATTTTTGTGTGTGTGTGGTTGGAGGGGGGTGGGGGGTGGAGGGTCACATAGCTGGCAATAGGAGCACAAAGACAGGTTATTGCAGACTGCAGTGGATCAGTACCTATAGTCAACTACCGTCTTCACCCGGTTGTTATCGCTGTTTCCAGACTGAAAGTTGGACCAAATACATCTATAAGGACCAGGTCTTCTATTTGGGTGAAAGACGTTAGTTTCTGGGAGACCTACTGGTCGGTCTATCAGGTGCAGGGACAGTGCACGGTCTCTTTTGCGCTTGTATGACAGCCACTCTGGTTCTGCCTACCTGCTCCTTTCATCTCTCTCATCCTCTACTTGCCTTATTCTTCCATCTCGGAAGCCTCTCTTCTTCCAACCTCCGTCGTCCATCTCTCTCTCATCCTCTTCTGTGGCATACTGATACCACACGGGCCCCAGTTAGGGCCCGGTTCTGTAATAGGCACAGTTTAGGCCTAGGTACCAGGTCACGACGGTCCCAGCTAGGTCCAGGTAGGCCTAGGAACCGTCGGTTCAGTTTAGGGTCCGGTAGGCCTCGTTTAGACCCCACCAGACCCAACGGCTAGTTGTTTAGGCCAGGTACCGGTCCATCGGTAGGCCCAGCCGGCGGCACAGTTTTGGCGCCCACTTTTCAGATTCCAAAATCGGATCTGAACCGTTGGGCCTGATCAACGGTCCAGACTCGAAGGACCTCAGTAGGACTGAGGCCGACCCAGCACTATATCAGCTGGGTACCAGCCTCAGTCGGTAGGTTAGCGTACAGGAGGTTAGTCTTCAAGATTAGCGCAGCGTTTCAGCGTTAGCAGGATTAGCGCAGCGCTGCAGCGTTACGAGGAGCAGCGAGGAGAGAAGGAGCCCTGCGGCAGAGAGGAAGTAGCGCAGCATTGGGAGCAGCGCCAGCCACCGGCCCAGCCCGCGGCCCAGCACCAGCCCTTTTCAGCGCCATAGCTACCGTGACAGGTACCAGGGAGAAAGGCTTTGCCTTCTCTCCCTCATCTTCCTCCMCCGCTCTCTCTCTCTCTCTCTCTCTCTCTCTCTCTCTCTCTCTCTCTCTCTCTCTCTCTCTCTCCTCCTACCTTCTCAGTCTAAGTCTACTCCTGGGACTACTACGAGTATGAAGGATGGTTACGAGTTCTGATGATATTGGAGACAGCGACATTGGGACTAGGTTGAGGACTACTCTTGGGATCTGATTTCATCTTCCTATGAAGATGTACTTGACATCGTGAGATCGATATCTGAGACATTGTGAGACACTGTGTTCGCGACATTTCGGATTTTCGCTACCTCTGACATTTCAAGATACCATCTTTGGAAACATTAAGTTGACGTCATCTTCCCTCTCCTCCTCCCTCCATTCGTCCGTGTATGATCTCAGACCCTGGCCTTTCTTCTATGTCCAAAGCCAGGGCTTTCACACCACTGATGCATGATTGAGGGTGTTCGATTGCAGTCTGAGTCAGGTCAGAGTCAGTCCATGGGTATCAACTCTTCCGCTGTATTTGTATAAACTCTGTATTATCTGGTCGGTTCTGGGAATCTGCGCCATACTTATGACTGTGTTCACAAGTATGCAGCATCTTCCCACCTTCATCTTCCCATCTGTCTCTCACCCTCTTCCTACCTTCGTCTTCCATCTCTCTCTCATCCTCTTCCCACCTTCTTCTTCCATCTGTGTCTCATCCTCTTCCAACCTCCGTCTTCCATTCCTCTCTCATCCTCTTCCCACCTTCTTCTTCCATCTGTCTCTCATCCTCTTCCTACCCTCGTCTTCCATCTCTCTCTCATTTTCTTCCTACCCTCGTCTTCCATCTCTCTCATCTTCTTCCTACCTTCTTCTTCTGTCTTGCTCATCTTCCTCCCTTCTTTCCTTGTTAATTTTCGAATGTGACTGTGGCGTTGGCCTGGCCTGAGTGACCGAGCCGTCATGATCTGGGAGAGTCAGCAGTAATGTTTCAGCGTAGCACTGGAACAATGTAGAACTTTCGCACGTAGATGTGTCAAACAGGAATTTGATTTTATTTGTTTTTGAAATGGCAAAAGAACTCTGCTGTTGGGAGACAGAATATGTAGAGCTGCCTCTTGGAGACTCTTCTGAGGATCAGGCTCAATGGCTTGAGCTGATCTGCTTTTCAAAAAAAAACTTGCCTGCGTCTTGGAACTGTGAGACTGGACGGAGGGGAAGGGGAAGTACCAAGGTATACATGTGAGGTGTTGGGCGTTATATTCAAATAGAAAGCCCGGGCGTTGTATTCAAAAAGAACGCCCGGGTGTTACATTTGAATGTTCCATGGGCAGAGTGCCTTGAAGAGTAGTATAGTAAGTATACATGGGTTTTAAAGGCCGGGGAAGGGGTTGACTTCCAAGGGGTATACTTCGGCTTTGTTTTTTGTTTTTATTTTTTTATTTCCGAGTTTATAAGGAATTCTGAAGTGACCCTCAGCCAAAAGTTGGTCGCATTGCAATCCTGGACAACATATTTTGTTTACAGAATTTATTATTATTTTTTTTTGGGAATTTTGGAGCCTCACCGGAGTTACCACAGATTTACTGAATAGAACACTCGGGCGTTAAAACGAATATAACGCTATCGTACACAACCCCAGGCGTTATTTTTGGGTGAAGGTGGTAGGGACGCCCCGCCCCACCCTCCTGCTGCGCGACTGGGTGCTGCCAGTAAGCTTCCCGGTCAGCAGGAGAGCCACCGAGGAAAGGAGCCATGGTTTGGGGGGCGGGACGGACTGTAGCAGCCCCCCCCACCTTGTTTAGGCGACTAGTGCCGCAAGGGCAGGGCTGATCTGATTTCTTACTCTCTTCGTTCTTGTGCTCATACATTTTGTTAAAACATGTTTGCCCAACTTTGCCGGGAATAAGCAACCGGACTGACGCCCCCCAGAATAGAAGGGGCCTTATTGATTGGTTAAAAAAAAAAAAAAAAAAAAAAAAAGGGGACTCTGTGAGACTGCATTACCAACGGACCCAGCGCGGTTGGTGCTCTCAATGAGCTGTTGACATACAGACCCAAGTTCGAATCCAGATTCAATAATATGTGAGACTGCATTTTTCCGGAGGACAGATAGCAGGCGGCTTGAGGGGAGTTTGGCTTCGAGAAAAGCTTGAGAGGACAGGTAGCAGTCGGTTTCCTTTAAAAAAAGAGACAGAAGGCAGCAACTCAGGCTAGGTTGTGTGCTGGCCTGGGCTACCAGCCGGGCCGCCCGGTCCACCTTGTTTGCCCGGCCATGCAAGGGCCGAAGAAGGTCCCAGCCAAAAAAGAAAGAAAAAAATCAAGAAGTCTGAAAAACAACTATCTTATGCAGAAAAATAAACTGAACAACTTTTGCCTCAGGGTCACATCGAAATTCTTTACCAAATTTAAAATAGATTTAATAGAATTAATTTTAATTTTAATTTTTTCTTTTTTTTCCCTTTTTTTTAAGCCCGGCCGGGCAAGTGGTCCCGGGCCACTCTGGTAGCCTAGGTGTTGGCTGATGTCTGCTTCATGCCAGGTTTGGCACACTAGCTCGCCCGGTTCCTTCATCGAAGCTACCGAAACTAGGAAACTTCGATGCCAGGTTTTAGCACACAAGTTCTTAGTTTTCTTTTACTCTATGGTAGTGATTGGGAGAAATGTGCACAAGAACTTGTTTGGGGGACTTCCCTTGTGACTTTGCGGACAATTTCTTTTTTTATATAAATAATAATTTCTCAATTTATGTGTGTCATCCTTGTGCAGGGGCCATGCTCATCTTCTCTCTCTGTATCGTTCCAAATGTAATGGATGTCCCGAAGGACATTTCCAGACAATTCCTTCTTTGTTCTTCTTTTTTATTTTCCGCATTATTTTTACTTCTTACGTCTTTCTCTTCTTCTCCTTTGGGTTCCCTCTTTTCTTTCAGCAAGACAGAGAAGAAGAAGAAAGAAGAAGAAGACGACAACAATGGCAAAAAGAAGACGACGAAGTCTTGTTCAGAGGAAGAGAAGAAGAAGAAGAAGAAGAAGAAGAAGAAGAAGAAGAAGAAGAAGAAGAAAGAAGAAGAAAGAAGAAGAAGAAGAAGAAGAAGAAGAAGAAGAAGAAGAAGAAGAAGAAGAAGACCTGTGCAAGTTGGACTTCGACCCTTGGTTTCATTGGACTGGCATTATAATAATCTATGGACGTGTGGTGTGTGTCTGCGACTTGTCACAGAGCCAGCAACAACGTTCTACGGACACAGCATACAGGATGCTGCCGGCCTCGTACTCTTTTTTAGTTCATTTTCCCTTCCTTGCACACTTTTCTAAAGCTTTTTCTCGAAGCCGAACTCCCCTCAAACTGTGGTTAGTCAATAGCAAATCAACAAGGCTACCGTCTTCACCCGAATAGAACGCCCAGTCATTATTGCTGTATCCAGACTGAAAGTTGCCCCAAATACAGCTCTAATGACCGGGTGTTCTATTCGGGTGAAGCCAGTAGTCAATAGCAAATCAACAGGCAGGTAAAGTGTGGTTAGTCAATAGCAAATCAACAAGGCTAGTTAATAGCCAATCAACAGGCAGGTAAACTGTGTTCAGTCAATCGCAAATCAACAAGGCTAGTCAATAGCAAATCAACAGGCGGGTAAACTGTGGTTAGTCAATAGCAAGCTGTGGTTAACCACTAGCAAATCAACAAAGCAGAAGGACACATGAAAACACCCGAGCGCCGACCCGGCTACCATAGTGGGCACCATTTTTCGTGTTTAAAGGCAGTAGCATGTTTGCGCTTACCTGATCTAGGTAGGGAAAGTTTGAAAGGATATCTCCATACGTCAATTGCATGCCCGGAGATGAGTCGTCATTGCCAACCGATGCTGTTGTCGGCGTGCTGCACCTGGATTGCTCGTTATTATTATTGTTACTATTACCGCAATCGTCATTCGCAGATGCGGGTAGAGTCGCAGCAGCAGCAGCAGCTGCATCTTCTTCAATGCGAGCCTGTGCCTGTCTTTTAAACCAGCCATCAATCTCTGCCAGCAGTTTCGCCTTCACGTGCGGATGTTTCTCCAAAACTATGATGACGAACGACAACGTTTCCGCAGTCGTATCCGTCCCGGCGACCAGCATTTCTCGCGCGATCGCAATCATGTCATCGTCGAGAAGCGAACTCAGCTTCTTCCCACTGGATTGCGAATTCGATCTCATCCGCATCATGAAACTTAACAGATTGTTGTCGATCTCATCAACTGCTTTTTCCTCAAAACCGCCTCTCTTTCGCCTCGATTCAACAATCTTCTTGCATTCTCCAACGATCACTTGTAGGTTGCAAGCTCGCTTGTACGCAATCGTTCCCGGTATCCAAGACAGGAACTTGTCGGCAGCAAAAACGAGACGCGTGTTGTCTGTTAGAAGCGTCAGGAAAGCGCATGCATCCTGTTCGAGCAAGTACTCCATGTCCTTAATGATGGCCATCAACAGAGGCGTATGTTTGCTGATGTCTGCCTGCTGTGTGCCAAACAAGACTCCGAATGCCGCCTCGCCGACTACATCGAGCGCATGACTGTGTAGCCATTTCTCTAAGTTCACCACTTCCCCCTCCGGCACAGCTGACAGTTTCCTCAAGAGCACCGATGTCGCATGCTTCATTATAGGCAAAAATGATTTGAGCCTTTGCGACGAGAAATAGCGCATCACTAGCACCCGATGATCTGTCCAACAGCGACCCCTGCAACCGTTCATCATTCATGGCCAATGTATGGCATGCGTCACCTTTTTTTTTTTTTTTTTTTTTTTGCCATGTGTCACTTATGTGTGTGTATAATTAGTATAATCTGGTAGTCGGAAAAAGTTTTGAAAACGTTTCAAAAAACCATTAAAGAAACTATTTTAAGGGGAGCGGGGGGGACGGGAAGACACTGTTTGATTGGAGCAATAATTTTAATCAAAGAAAAATAACAAAAACTTGAAAAAGAGAACAAGTGTATTCATTAATTGGGTAGTTGAAACTTGAAAGTTGAAACTTGAAAGTTGAAACCATTTAAGAAACGTTTTTTTTTTCCTGCTTGCCGATGACGAACAACTGGACTGGCGGCCCCAGAATAGATGGGGCAACTCGGGCAAGTGTGTTTGGTGTGAAAAAAAAAAAAAAACGGTTAAAAAAAGAAAAAACTTTTAGAAAATAAAAAGAAACTATTTTGATTGGGGCTTTAATTGGATTAGAAGAAACACAAAAAGAAAACTCTTTGCTTCACAAAGAAATTGCCTCCTTTTTTCAATTAATTGACTAATATCATCACAAACAGAACTGCCAATATACATATATATATCGTCAAATAGAACTGCCCGGTAAACCGTAGGCAGAGAGGGAGAAGAGGACAACAAACGAGGGGCTGTGACAAACTGTTTCGTCGGAGTTTCACCGACTCATCAGGAGGCTGAACCCTCAACAGTCTGTAGAATC